AAGATGGTTTAATGTGGAGTATTTATACGCGTACGTACGGTTCAAAGCCAAAAATGACTCAATCTCTGCGACCATTGTCATGCTGTCATCGGCATCCACGAATCCCCACTCTTTAGTGAAATGAGAGAAGTACTACTGGATGGTGGAATCTACAGAACTTGTCATCCTTCATAAAATTAAGAAGAAACAGATACTACAAATCGATCCCAGTCCGAAGATCGAGCAGTATCCGAACTGATGTATTTCCCAACGTTGGTAAGATGTCACATAGTTACTGCAATGGCTTTCTGTTGCATTCCTCAGAATACTCTAAGCATCACCGTTTAGAGCAGGTGCTGGTGCAGAATTGGAGACCCCGGAAGCAGGTTTCTCTTATCGCTTTTTACGTGAACTGCTCGAAAGCAGAACGTAAAACTTTTTTTTTATTACGCGTCCTAGAAATTTCAGTTGTCTCTTTCTGATGTTAAGTATAAGTATTCTTTTTGATTCCATTTTCTCTAAGACTTCGTCTTTACTCACATGTTCAGTCCATGGTATTTACAGCGTCCTTCTGAAGAACCACATTTCTGTTGCTTCAGGTCTCTTCTTCGTCTATTGTTCAATATTGATACAATTACTAAATGGAAGCTTTCATTTAAGAATTTATGTAATTTTAATTTTTCGTTTGTTCTTTTATTTACAGGAATGGTTACGCTCTTGCAGTCGTTTTCTGTAAAAGCTTGCAATCCCTCGGCCTAAACTCTCTTCGGCATATTTATAGAGGCAACGTCATGATACGGAAAAACCCGAACTTGTGTTACGCCCACACAATCAATATGACACACATGTTTTCAACGTATGAACAGAAGACAGTTATTAAAGACAACAAAGACAGAATTGCTTGTCGTAAGTTTTCGCATTTACATATGTATTAAGGTACATAATATATTATCTGAAAATCTTGGAATATTTTCGGATTTCTGAATGATATTACAAGTCGTTATCGAAGAGAGATGTCTCTCCACTGAACCTAGTAAACAGTCACACTGTACTGGGTAAAATAAGGCAATAAATAATATTGCTGGTTTAATTGTATATATATACCGTCATCCACAGACAGACTGTTTCGCAGCTCATCAGTGTGGCTAGACATCCGATTGCCTCCAGCTAGGGTCGAAACCCGACTGAACTGGAGATTCGGTCGGAGATTCTAACCATTAAGCCATCGGCGCACGGTAGGGAGGAAAGTGGATTTTTAGCGTGTTTATCTTTATAAACACGCCCAGTGACCGGGTGTGACTCAATTCGCATTAGCGATGTATGTACAATTAAACCACACACACACACACAACACACACACACACATATATATATATATATATATATATATATATATATATATATATATATATATATGGACATGTATCTATGGGTATGTATGTACAAGTATACAAAAAAGGAAAAAGACTTTAATATATGTATATGCCTGGGTGTCTGTGTGTGTATGTATGTGCACGTATATAATGCAAACATATATATATATATATATATATATATATATATATATGGACTGATTTAATAACAAACAAAAAAACAGGCGGACACACACGCTCTTGAGTCAGGAGATGATAAGGTAATTTAATCTAATTTATGGTCCCTACTTATCCTCACAGATCTCAAGGAATTTTTCCTCACATACAGTTTTATCTTTCTTTAATCCTAACCTAAGGAAGCCAAAGAGAGCAGACGCTTTCGGCGAAACGAGTCGTCAGTAAACTTTTCATTTTGTCTCATCAACTTTACTTTTAATTGAACATATTGGCCATCACTAATACACTACATTTGGCGGGAAAAAGGCACTGCTCGCCAACCTCATTACACCGTCCCCACTGTAATGCATGGTGGTAGTTCGATCATGCTTTGGGGTTGTTTTTCAGCTGCAGGGCCTGGAGAACTGGTAACTATCCAAGGTGTCATGGACAGTGTCAAGTACCAAGAAATATAGGCGGCAAACCTGCTGAAGTCTGCTAGAGCTCTGAGCTTGCGTCGCAATTTCAAGTTTCAACAAGATAACGACCCCAAGCCACTGTCAAAAAGCACTAAAGCTTGGTTTGCTAGCAAGAAAACCACAGTTTTGGTATGACTCAGCCAGTCTCTAGACCTCAATCCTATAGAAAATCTATGGCGATGTATAAAGCTGGCTGTGCACCGACGTTCCCCATTCAATCTGACACAGCTCGAGAAGTTCTGCCATGATGAATGGCAAAAACTGTCAGCAGACCACTGCAGCAAGCACGTGGAAGGCCCCCTGAGGCGTCTGCAGGCTGTAATTGACGCAGCAGGATCATCCACATAGTATTGGCTGAAGACATTCCAAAGGGGGTGTAGACTTTTGCAAAGACATTTTTCAAAATTATCTTTGTTTAAGAATAAGTTTTAAATTTTTCAAATGTATTTTGTATATTAAATAAAAGTGTGATAGATTTGCTTATTAAAATAAATTATTGGAGTTTAAAATATTAATTGTTCCTATCAAAATAAACAAAATGCATCCAGTTTTCAAGGGGGGGTGTAGACTTTTGCAATGCACTGTAACTACTTCCACCCACGTTTAAACTATTCTGTAAATCAACACATGTCTTTTTATGAGTATAAGTTTCCTTTTTGTTTCCATTTTCTTTAAAACTTCTTCGTTGGTTACACGTCCCATCGATCATATTCTCAGCATCCTTCTGTAGAACCATATTTCTTGTTCAATAGATTATAATAAAGATGTAAACAAAAATAAATAACAGCTGATGTAGTTCAACATCATCACTTGATAAGACACCAGAGGTGTTGAAACAAAATGGCTATTTTTGTAGTGATTTTATTACATATTTATGTTATAATTTTTAAATAAATAATTATATCTGCTCTACTCTGTATTGAGCACTCTTTTAAGAATAGTAATTGTTGGGTATTAGAATTTATTCCTTATACACCAATCATACACTTGGTATATATATATATATATATATATATATATATATATATATATTTTTATTCGAAAATTATAACATGAATATGTTATAAAATCACTACAAAAATAGCCATTTTTTTTAACATTTCTGGTGTCTTATCTTGATATTATTTATGATACTATTTTTGTAGTGATGTTATAACATATTTATGTTATAATTTTCGAATAAATTATATTTGCTCTACTCTGTATTTTAAGAATAGTATTTTTTGGTTACTGGAATTTATTCCGTATACACCAATCCTATTCTTGGATATATATATATATATATATATATATATATATATATATATATATATATATATATATATATATATTAGACTATTCCTCCCCAAAGCAAGTTATAACGATAGCGAACATACAGCCAAAAAATCGCATACACATTTTTTACAAAAACCAAATGCATATTAATTATAAACAAGATGAATCTTCTCTAAGGCATGTTATAAAGAAATATACTACTCCAATTGATCCGAATAAAAAAATCAAACTTATCTATTATAAAAAATTTAAGACAGCCAACCTTATCCTCAAAAATAACGACACACCAAGTCAAAATTACAAAGAACGAACATTATCTATGAGTTCAAATGCCCCTTAAGGAACTGTGTTCCTGATCAAACCGGACTCATAAATAATTACATCGGTTACACAACCACATGCTTATCCAGACGTCTTACGTTACACCGATCTGATCACAGCTCCATTAGAACCCATTTAAACACACACACACAGATTTACCCGATTCCATTAGGAACATACTAGTAAAAAACACAAATATATTAACTGCATCCACCTGCAAAAAAAGACTAAAAATAATGGAAGCTTTAATAATAAAAAAGAAAAAGCCAACTCTTAACAATATTAACTACGAACAAAGCCACAATGTGCTAACCGTATTCGGAAATTAAAAACATCCCTACCACACACTATGACATATACAGAACGCACACACTCAATTAAACTGAAAAATTGAATCATCCTTGATAATGGCTAAAGGTATAGCCGAAAGCGCTCGGAAATATCAAACATTCGGACAGTTCTTACACACCCTTTGTCCAGAAAAGAAAGCTTTTTTCAGAACACAAGAAAAATTAAATAAAAAACTTAACCGTAGTACCTTGTCTGTCGTTTTTAATGAAACATGCATATATATATATATATATATATATATATATATATATATATATATATATATATATATATATATATATATTAATTATAGCAGAAATATATATTAACCCTGAAGTAGTTTGAATTTTTCAAATTTTTTTATTATTATTTCATTCGTATTCAAAATCAGATAATCTTGTTGTTTACTAAGCATAGTGTGGGGATCGAATTCGCTGCTTAACAGTATTGATAAACCAGACTATCTTTGCTTAAGTTAAGTGTAATTTCGAATATCTAAAGATAGATTAGATTCGGGAAAAGGCTGAAAGTATGAATCACAGTGAGAATCGAACGCACTAGTTAGTAGTAACTGATTAATAAAAACAATTTGTTAACTATTATCCAATGACGAGGTCTCTTTACATATGTAAACCAAACTCTTTGATGTGGCTTATAAAGAAATCAATTCAAGGGAAGCCACTCTTCATCATAAGAAATTGAGTGACTTCCCTTGAACTCCCTTCTAACTTAATCTGAAATCAGGACAGTTTATGCAATCAGCAGTCTTTTTTCGTGTAAATGAATTCCATTGTGATTTTCAGTATTTAAAAAAAAATTTTTTTTTTTTTTTTACAGAATTAATTTTAATTTTAATTTTTTTTGTTGTTCCATTTCAGGAAGCACTGGTCAGGTTTGTGACTATCAATGTAAACTTAGCGGATGTTGGGGTCCTGATGCCGAAGATTGCATTGAATGTATCAACTACAGAGTTGAAGAAACCGGCAAATGTGTTCCATCTTGTTGGAACGTTAGTATGGTGTTTGACAGCGGCATGAACACCTGTAAACCCTGTCACGAGGAGTGTGAGAACGGATGCACTGGATCTGTAAGTGACATATTTGTGAATCGAAGGATCTTTTTTTTTTTTTTTAATTTGCTTGTAATTAAATTCAATTGATTTTTTTTTAAAAGCATTGTCATTAATATAAAACGAAACTGACCCCTTTTAATCATCTGAGAGAACCCTTTCTCCTGGTGCTAAAATCCAGGAGGGTGACCCGTGTAAAGATTATACTGAATTAATTGCTAAGTTTGCACCTAAGAAAGTTGATTCCCTTTGTCATGCTAGAATGTTGATTCATTATGTCATAATGTATCTTAGGTATATCTATAAGTCTACCGTTTGTTCTTGCTTTTAATGTTGCTGCCGCATCTGGTCCGGTGCTGCTTCTATACAGTTAATGATTCTTGATAAAATCCGAAGAAGAATCTGCAATGTTGTTCGTCCTGATCTGGCATCTCTTCAGTCACTTTCCCACTGCCGTAACATAGCTTCCCTTTGCTTTTTCTATAAATACTTTCATTGTAATTGTTCTGATGAACTTTCCTTTATGATACCCTACACTTTATGAATTTAAGCGCAGTACTAGATTGGCGGAAAGGTCTCATCATTTTACAGCTGAAATGGCTAGATATAGCGGTAAGTTCTATGCTGACAGTTTCTTCTATCACACTTCTTGCTTGTGGAACTCTCTACTGGTTTCTTGCTTCCCAGTCAACTTTGATTTTCAAAAATTTAAATGCTATATTAATTGTTATTTTCTGTCTTAATTCTTGTTCTTTTGTTGTCCTCTTGTCTCCAGAATAGTTTTTTTTCTCATAGTCTCTAAAATTCAGTAAATGATTAAAAAAAATTACTTGTATTATTTACATTATTCGGACTTATCCACACCTCTATTGCCCGTACCAATCCTTCAATATTTATCTATATCTCTGATATGAGGTATTATGATTACTTGTATTATTTACATTATTCGGACTGTTATCCTCATCTTCATTGCCCGTATCGATCCTTCAATATCTGTCTATATCTCTGAGATGAGGTATTATGATTACTTGTATTATTTACATTATTCGGACTGTTATCCTCATCTCCATTGCCACATTCACAACGTTTCGAGCGTTGTATGCTCCTGCATTCTTCAAGTGATTGGAGTTTCGAACCGATCCTTTTATTTCGTCCAATTTTTTTTTATTATTATTGCATTTTTTACCAGATCTTATACTGCAATTTTTGTTGTTATTTATTGCTTTTCTCTAGCACTGTATTTATTTCTATGCTTGGTCGGCTCCGGAGATTTTTGTGGCGTAACATATGTGCTGATTCCTTAAGTTTTCGTATTTTCCAATGATACTATCTATTATTTCAACCTCATCCCACGGGGCGGGGTTGATCTCCCTTTTCCCTCCATATGTGGTCAGCTACGCTTGATTTTTTTTATTTTCCTTTCTCTGGCCGAAACGTTGTGAATATGGCAATGAAGATGAGGATAACAGTCCGAATAATTTAAATAATACAAGTAATTATAATACCTCATCTCAGAGATAAAGACAGATATTAATAAAAACTGTTGACGAGTTTTCCTTTCGTCGTTATTTTTTTATCACAAAACTCGAAAATAGAGAATTAAGATTCTGTCGGCGAATATTAAATTATTAATCATGATCATATAAGGCGCTTTTTCAAGTCCAGTAACTGTTATCGTTCTTTCCATTATTGATGGTGCATTTCCTTCCCTGCCTTTTGCTTGAAGTATTGTGGAAAGTCAGCATCTTGATTATGGGATTACTCTCTCTTCGACAATATAGTGCCTGGAAGATAGTTAATGTTTTCAAAATGGCCAGGTCCATCGTGTTTAAGATCTGGAACCACGTGAATGTTTTATTCGAGTAGTATGAAAAAAAATGTGGGGGGACTGTTAATGTATATTTATTATGGGTTCGGTTAAAAGAGATTGGGAGAATGGAGATCAAGCGACAACAAGGCTCACTGTAAAAAAATATGAAGACAGACAGTTTCCCCCAAACTAACGAGAGCTGAAAAGGAAAAAAAAAAAAAAAATGAACAGTTCGACCTTCAGGTTTGGGGCACTATCAGCCACGGCCTTAGCAAGTCGATATATGACTATCGCCGATTAGATCAAAGTGGCAGAATCTAAGATCAGTAAGAAGGCGATAAGCGCAACATTTTAACATCTTTGACGCACTGGTTGAGGATAATTACAATCGCTCAACGGATAGGCGATTTTCGCATTCATCTCTCCATAAAACTTTGAAAATTTTAATGATAACTCCTCCCCCCGCCAAAAAAAAATCTCCTGAGAGACCTGAATAAACATCTTCCTTATTTCTGAATGTTCTTGACCTAAAAAAAAAAGTTTAATAATCATAATGTTTAATACATTGAAGAAGTGGGGCGTTATGAGGGTTATGGAAAAAGTTCCCAGCCTAACGATTATTTTCGTTTGGATTTGTTATGTTATGTGAAGTTTTGCATTGTCGATTGAGGATAAAGTTTTTAGTCTTAATCTTAAGCCGCCAATGCCTCGTGTAATGCACCATTGAGATGATCAAGTTCACACAACACATATCGGCAGTGAAGGTTTCTATAGGATCAGGTAACTTAAAGTGACCAGTATTTGTCAAAATCCATGTGCAAGGGTTAGTTTCACACAATACCGCAAGTTGCTACAAAACAAAAACATTAGAATAAAATCTCGAATCAGATCGAGAAGTTCATATGGATGTCAGGTATGGCACCAAACTCATTCAGAAATATCTAAGGCCCACGGGTGTTCACACTGTACAAGGCCAAATAATGTTCACCCTATACAAGGCTCAATGGTGCTCATTATGTACAAGGCCCAACGATGTTCAACCTGTACAAGGCTCAATGTTGTTAACCCTGTTCAAGGCCCAATAATTTTCACCCTGTACAAGGACCAGTATTGTTCACCCTGTACAAAGCACAATGATATTCACCCTGTACAAGGTTCAAAGTTGTTTATCCTCTACAAGGTGATAGTTTATATAGGATCAAGTAACTCAGAGTAAACAGTATCTATCAAATTCCATGTGCTAAGGTTAGTTTCCTACAACACCGCAAGTTACTACAAAGCAAAAACTAGCATAAAATCTCGAATATTGTTCGAAAATAATTACATCGAGACTTTCATATGTCATATATGGTAGCAAACTCGTTCAGAATTATCTAAGATATCAGCTGTGTACAACCGCTTTCTCAGACCGATGGTTAAAAATGGCTTTGGGCGAGTGAAGCCTGTGTGTCTCAGCGATAATCATTCTTCTTTGACTGGCGCTAAAGAATCGCAAACAAAAAGAAGAATAACAATGAAAATGAACATCACGTGTTGCTAAAAAAAGAAAATAATGATATATTCAAGAGGCTGACTTTCCACAATATTTCAAACAAAGAGAAAGGAAGAAAGCCGACATAAGTACTGGAAAGAACTAGCAGCAACATCAGCAACAGATAAAATAGACGGTACATGTAATTCGAAGAGAAACTAATGACATAATTCCAGGTATAGGTTAGATAAATTCACCTGTAAGCAAATTAAATCAAGTCTTATTGGCGTATATGAGATTCAACGAAAATTAATTAAATGACTAACTGAGAAGTCTTGGGCATAATTATATACTACATCTGGCAGCAAGACCTCTGATCGGGAGAAGGTTTTGGGGGAGCGTGGAACCAACTCTTGATTGTTGTTGTTCCGGGGTCCACCCTGATTCGGGGTGGTAGAACCTGTTAGGTTCCCAGCCGTCGGCAAATAGTGAATCCTCAAACAAAACACTGCAAAAGTATAAAAAAAAAAATATTTTTATTTATACCTGAAATACATTTTATATAACGGGTTAACAATACATATTTATAGTAAACAATACATTTTTAAAGCAAAATAACCAATAATACATTTTATTTATAGTTGAAAATATACAATTACGTTGAACATATATTTAGTTGAAGCCATAAAATTGTGTTCAGATTCAGATTTCGGCATTAAATAATCCATAGAGGGTGATGTACCCCTAAAGAAAACCAATGAATGAAATATTTTACATTATATTTAAAATATAGTGAAAATACATTTGTTTAAATTGGGTCATGGGGTCAGTGAGTATGATGTATGATGTATAAACAATTCTACGGGCGTCTTATGAACCGCTTAGGTACGGATGACCAAAATCGATATAGTTTGGTTTGGTTTGGTTTGGTTTACGGCATATCAAACTCAATGAGTTATTTAATGCCGACAAGATTTTTATTGCTGATAATATTTTTCCGAAAAATGTATTGCTGCTAATATTTTTCATCAAAAATGTATTTCTGGTAATATTTATTTTCTTCAAAAAAGTATTGCTACTAATAATCTTTTCTCAAAAAATGTATTGCTGCTATTAAAAACTATTTTTACACTTTCCTAGTGATTTGTCCCAAGTCTGGGGGCTATCTATTTGCCTATAGTTACCATCCCAGGTCTGGGTGGACCTGGGAACACCAGAAATTAAGTGGTTTAACGCTCCTCAAAACCTCCTGATCAGAGGCCTTGCTGTTGCTGCAGTTTATCGTCTGACCCAGGACGCAAAATCAACAACGGATATCAGCGTGTAAAGTGGAAACGGTGAACTAATTTCAGGTTTGTTTGAGGCGAATAAAGAAAACAGCAACCAGCGAGTAAATTCAAGCTCTCCCAGCTGGTATTTCAACCTTGAGTCGTTCCTTCTTGAGTTCTGTCTCCAAATCACACTAACTGCCCGTTCTTGCCGTCAACCATGAACGTCCCTCGAAGAACTCTCCGACTCGGAAAAAAGTAGTTGCTTTTATAGTTGTTCATATACCCATAATCCCTTGCGTCTTCATGTGATCCCATAATTCATTGCGTCCATGTCCCATAATGCATTGCATCGTTATTGCATAAAAATGTGATGCCAGTCCCCCCTCATTCTTTTACGTTATCTGGCCGAGGATGGATTACGGCAGAGCGTGGCTCTACAGAAGGAAGCCGAGAATACCGTGGACTG